GTAGCATGGACTGAGAAGACATTTTATTTTTTATTGTTTTATTTCTGAGGAGACCTTTTAAAATGGTACTCTATGCCATATACAAAATAATAAATTGCAGAACTTTCCCCTCTATTGTTTTCCTTTGTCTTAAAAGGTATAAAAGATTGAATTGAAATGATAAGATTTCATTTTTTTAAGTAGTTGATGAGGAATTTATGTTTCTTCATCAGTTAAGTACAGTGTTTGGGCTGGATAATTTCTTTCCTTTTTTAAAAAAAATTTGAGAGAGAGAGAGAGAGCATGCTGTAGGGGAGGGCAGGGGGAGAGGGAGAGAGAGAAGAATCTTAAGAATCTTAAGCAGGCTCCACACTCAGCTTGGGGCCCCACATGGGGCTCGATCTCACGACCCCGAGATCAAAACCTGAGCCAAAATCAAGAGTTGGATGCTTAACCGACTGAGCCATCTAGGTGCCCCTGGGCTGGATAATTTCTAAGAGCCCTTCAAATTCATTCTGTGGCCAGAGACACAGGGAAATAGTGACCTGTGCTGTGTCATATCTTTCCATTTCTTGGGTCAAGAACATCCACAGATACTACAGGATGGTTTTACATTATACTTTTTTTTAATAAGGAAACAATTATTTCAGAAAGATAGGTTGAAAAGGACATGGTGAATTTCCAAAATTAACTGTGAAAGACAGATCATCTGGGCATGACTGAAAGCCATGCATAACCTTTGTGCTCAGATATTTCATTTCAAAAATGTCACTTTCTGCTTATTCAATGCTACTGTCATTATACTATTTTAAGCATTAAAATTTGTGTTCTGGAGCTGAACAGGAATTATTGCCTCTATCTTTGGGCTTATTAGAAATAACTTAAAATTCATTCAAGAGCAATAAAAATCACTTTTTATGATGGTTGAATTTGGTTTAATGTTGAAAATTGCAAGCAATTTTCATTGTCTTTTATTAGCAGTATTTCAGCGTCTGTGTATATAGATCAAGACTGTTTTTAAGAATTCTCTAAAGAAATGACTGATTAAACAGGATTTTTTTCTTTAATTTTTAATTCCCTAGAGTGAGGTTAAAGTAGAATAAATTACGTGACAATGTTGTTTAAAATTTCAGGCTCTGCCTTATATGGGTAAACTTAAAAAAAAATACATGAGAGTTGAAACAAATTTTTATTGCTCCATGAATTATTTACTCAATTGCAAGGGGGATATGGAATGGGAAGCAGCTTTGTCTGGAAAAAAAGTCTCCCGATATTGAAGGAATGAATCTATTTATTCATCCCAATCATCTGTAGTTTACTTAACTCTTTACTATCTAAATAATCTTCAATGCTCTCATTTCAAATTTGGATCAATACAAAGAAAGAGGACCAGGAAAAAAAATGTGTTTGTATTATATGAATCTGCCTGCATTGGGCTCTTTTCATCACCCAGGGAAAGGGAGAGGGGATAAGCTTGCCCAGATGATGAAGTATTCCTTGGGCAAGGCTGGCTGGAGAGCTGTTTTAGCTGGTGGGAAGCCAAACAAAGTGGAACAGGGAACAACAACAACCAACAAAAAGCATCCAGAAAATGGGTTGGAATCAAAAGCACAAATCAGAGATTAGACAGTCAGACCGAGAATAACCAGAATTACAGGCTGTTGGGTGGAAGGGTGTCCCTGGATTGGTACCTGGGAGGAGCATTTCTATATTTAGGTGTAATTGCTCTTTGTGACATCGTTCCAGGGGATAAGGAGATATAGGGCAGGGGCAGGTGAAACTTAAATTGAAAAGACTGGGAAAGAGCTGTATTAATTTTTAAAATAACAAAGCTATTTCAAGTATTTGAATGCCAGAGGATGGAATTAAAGTGGGTGCTTATCATTCAGCTGTATGACATCTTTATGGAGGGCTCAATAAATACACTGTTATCTAAGTCAGTTTAGGCTTTCATAACAAAATAGACCGGGTGGCTTAAACAACAGACATTTATTTCCTCTCAGTTCTTGAGGCCAGAAGTCCAAGATCAAGGTGCTAGCATAGTTGGTTTCTGCATAGTTGGTTTCTGGTGAGAACTCTCTTTCTGGCTTGTAGACATCTGCCTGCTCACTGTATCCTCACATGATGGTCCTAATCCCACCCACTATGAGGACCCAACCCTCATGACCTCATCCGAACCTAATTATCTCCCAAAGGCACCATCTCCAAATATCATCACATTGTTGGTTAGTGTTTCAACATATCAGTGTGGGAGGAATGCCGTTTAGTCCATAGCAATGGTGAATTTTTATTGATTAAGGGCCACCATAAGAGTCACAGATTATGTTTTCTTCCCCTTGTCAGACAGTATCTGTGCTTGGTTTGGCATTGAAGTTGTCCTCACAATACAAATGGAATGTCTGTATTCCTTCCTTATGAATAGTTGCTCTACTTAATTCTGTGTTGTGTTCTAGAATAGAACCCTTTCTTTCTTCAATCATTTCATAGATATGAAGTATTTTTATTTTTTTTCAGTTCCTTTTGGCAAACAGAATGAGTGCCGTTTGCTCACATTTTGAGTGCAACCCGAGCATTGGTCTTGCCCATTCCAAAGGCCACCTTCTAATCTACGTGGGAAGAGGGAACCCATTGGGTTCCAAAGTTGTTCACGAAGCTACTGCTTCGATGAGTATCACAACCAGCTCTACCACTGACCCCTCACTGCCTGGGAATCCTGGGTTATGGTCTTCCTTCAGTGCAGTCCCCCTACCTAGGCTTGGACTCAGATGCTTGAATTCTGCCTGTCCTGTTATTTCTCTCCATACAACTACCCAAGTCTAGGTGGGGGCATCAGACTTTAGTGAAGGGTCAAAGAAAACAAAACTGCATTATAATTTAGAAAGGATAAAAATGGTAATACTATTCTAAGTATGACCACTCCCATAAAATGAAGTTATCATCTTATGGACACACTAATTCCTAGCTTTAGGTTAACCCTCTATTCACAAAGCACCTCACTATTCAAACTTCTCTCTTTTAAGGATTCCCCTAACTGCACACCATTCAATCTCTAGAACCCAATAATCAGTGGCAAATATTTTCCCAGTGTGTGTGTTACTTAGCCTAGAATGAGACCCTAAGGTGGAAGATGGCAGGACACAAGCTTTAGAAAAATAGTCTGGATAGGCTTTTGTTCTTCTAGGTCCTGACTCAGTGTCCCCCCAGTACTAAGTCAACTTTATTCAGTGATGTATAATTTTACTTTATACATCAGGCTCAGATTTTTTGTATAAAATCTGATGAGTTATGTAATTCATGAAAATTAATATACACAGTAAATTTTAAAACCAGCAAAATTTAAGACCAGTGTGAGATACAGAGAGGAGCTATTGGTCACTTTGGGTTCCTCCTAAAGAATTGTCTGAGTATTTTTTGCCCCATTCTGTCTCTAGGCTTTTCACTTTTGGCACTAAAAGACTCCACTGCCATAACCCCCTGGAAAGCAACATCTAGTTTTTCCTGATACAAGTTAAAGGAACAGTCTAGGTACATTAAGAAACTTCCCTTCAAAAAGGTATTTGATTGTAGTGAGTAAAAACATCATTATGGGCACAATAGGACAGAATAGTTGGAAGCAGGAATGACCTAGAAAAGTGAGTGACATAGCCAGTTCTCTAGAATATTTGATGGGTTTCCTTTCTCTGAAGTCATGACTGATGTGTAGAGCAGCAGACTAACTAATCTTTAAGCAATTGCTTCTCCTTTAGTAAGTTTTAGAAAAGCTCCCATGTCATAGAATGCTAATTGAAAAAAACAAAGATGACTTCAGGTGTTTCCTGATTTGTGCCTTGAGATCCTGCCTCCCTTAAGGCTGCAAATTATAGAGAAGCCTGTTATTTTCTCAATAGTTTTACACCAATAAGATATACTGTCACCTTACATTATATGCTACCATTTACCACAAGTAACTGCGCTCTGCCGCACTGCATAATAATGATAATCATTCTAATCATATATCAACACAAGGAGATAATGAGATAATAACAAGATAACAGTACCTTCCCTGCATGCTAAACAATTGACTTCAGTCACAGACATGTTTCCAGCCTGTTCCACCCTACTGTATGGTGTCAGAGTTTATGTTTCATTACTAGGGGTGCTTCCTTCCAGCAGGCTGTTGAACGCACTAGTACATACATCTGTTGTGGGTTTCCAAAAGTTATTCTTGAAGCTTATACAACATTCTCTGGATTATTTTCTTGTATAAGATGCTTGAGGGGGTTCTGGTGTGTCAGTGCAACATACCTAATAAATTCATTCCAAGATAGCATTTGGGATATCATAAGAGATCTCATGAACAAAACCAGACAAATACACCATAATCAACAATACCTGGAGATTTAGAGATTAACTTGTCTAGCCTCATAAGATTTTCACATCAATTTCCCCTGAAGTATCAGACCCATCTGTATAGAAGTTATTTATCTGAACCAAGGCTTTAAGAGATTAAGTCTAGCAGGCTGGGACGTTTTTATCCTAAATGAAAGCAAGATATGATCATGTGCAATAGCCACATCATTAAAAGGGTTCAAATCCCATGGTATTTTTGTGACCATTTGTGCTAAAAGAAACTTGCCTTTTCCCCCCTGAGTTTCTCACTTAATTCTTGGAGGTTAATCTTCATAAATATATGATTGTTTTTACAGAACATGTTGCATCTGAAGGCTTCTATTTGGAAATTCTAAGGCAGAGGGACGCGTCGTCCTGGTTAATGCATTTATCAGTGTCGGATTATTCATATTAGCTTGCAGAAAAATATTACTGTTGTTCTGTCATCAGGTTTTCCTACATATGGAAAGAGTTTGACTTTTGTTTGATTTTTCGTCTAAGGCTCAAACTAGGAGAGAAGCAAACTGCCACCCCCGCCCTGCCCCCATCAAAAGTTCATAGCACTAAACCCAAGTGCTGCAAGCTCTGCTTGAAGGCTTTCCCATCGTCCTCACCCATTTTACTTTCCTGTTCGTCTCTTTTCTCTTTTGTAGCGTCAGCCAAACCCAGACCCCACAGTGATGAATATTCAAAGAAGATCCCTCCTCCCAAGCCCAAACGGAACCCCAACACTCAGCTGAGCACATCTTTCGATGAAACGTGCACCAGGAAGCACGGGCCGCGGAGGACGTCGCTCCCGCGGGACCCCTCTCTGTCCCTGGTGAGCAGCCCGGCGGGGGGCCCCGAGGAGGAGGAGCCCGTGTACATCGAGATGGTGGGCAACATTCTCAGAGACTTCAGGAAGGAGGAGGACGACCAGAGCGAGGCCGTCTATGAGGAGATGAAATACCCCGTCTTTGACGGGGACTTGGGCCAGGATGCGAAATGCGACCTTGACCGTCACGGCTGCTCCTCGCAGTGTGCCACCCCCACGGGGCCTGAATCGGACTTCGCCAGGTCCTCAGCGCCATGTACTCCGAAGGGTTTGCTTTGTGACATCCCCCCGCCCTTCCCCAACCTGCTTTCTCACCGGCCCCCGCTGCTGGTGTTCCCCCCCGCGCCAGTGCAGTGCTCCCCCAATTCCGACGAGTCTCCGCTCACCCCGCTGGAGGTCACCAAGCTGCCCGTGCTGGAAAACGTGTCTTACGTGACGCAGCAGGCCGGCGCGTCTCCGTCCTCACTGCCCTCGCACGCCTCCGGCCGCCCCAAGCCCGACAAGGAGCAGGCCGCCGCCCCGGGCCCCAGCCCTGCCGCCGCCGCCGCCGCCCCCGCGCTGCCCTCGCCGCCGCCCCCGCCGTCCGCCCGGCACCGCGCGCCGTCCCCCCGCGGCTACGCCAAGGGCCCCCCGGCCGCGCCGTCGCCGGCCGGCGGGGGGAGGCCCCCGACCGCGCTCGGCCTCAAGCGGCCCCCGCCCTACGACGCCGTGCATCCGGGCAGCCTCTCCAGGGGCTCTGCCTCGGTGCCGCCTCCTGCGCCCGGCAGGCCGGTGTCGCAGGACGCGGCCAAGCTGGCCAGCGCCTCGGTGAACGCCCACGGCGCGGCGCCGGGGGCCTCCCGGTCCAGGACGCCCACGAGTCCCTTGGAGGAACTGACCAGCCTCTTTAGCTCTGGACGAAGCCTGCTGAGGAAGTCGTCCAGCGGCCGCCGTCCGAAGGACCCCACAGACAGTAAGTGTGCGGCCTCCGGGAGACAGGTTTCCAGCTGAAAGCGAAGCCCGGGGTGTGCAGATGAAGCACGGAGTGCAGGGCCTTTAGTTCTTCTTCTTCTTTTTTTTTTTTTTTAATTTTAAGATTTTCCAGCTGAAAAATAAAGCGAAGCGGGGTGTGCAGATGAAGCACGGAGTGCAGGGCCTTTAGTTCTTCTTTTTTTTTTTTTTTTTTTTTTTTTAAGATTTTCCAACTTAAAAATAAAGCGAAGCCCGGGGTGTGCAGATGAAGCACGGAGTGCAGGGCCTTTAGTTCTTCTTTTTTTTTTTTTTTTTTTTTAAGATTTTCCAACTGAAAAATAAAGCGAAGCACGGAGTGCAGGGCCTTTAGTTCTTTTTTTTTTTTTTTTTTAATTTTAAGATTTTCCAGCTGAAAAATAAAGCGAAGCGGGGTGTGCAGATGAAGCACGGAGTGCAGGGCCTTTAGTTCTTCTTTTTTTTTTTTTAATTTTTTTTTTTTTAAGATTTTCCAACTTAAAAATAAAGCGAAGCACGGAGTGCAGGGCCTTTAGTTCTTCTTTTTTTTTTTTTAATTTTAAGATTTTCCAGCTGAAAAATAAAGCGAAGCGGGGTGTGCAGATGAAGCACGGAGTGCAGGGCCTTTAGTTCTTCTTTTTTTTTTTTTAATTTTTTTTTTTTTAAGATTTTCCAACTGAAAAATAAAGCGAAGCACGGAGTGCAGGGCCTTTAGTTCTTTTTTTTTTTTTTTAATTTTTTTTTTTTTAAGATTTTCCAACTTAAAAATAAAGCGAAGCACGGAGTGCAGGGCCTTTAGTTCTTCTTTTTTTTTTTTAATTTTTTTTTTTTTAAGATTTTCCAACTGAAAAATAAAGCGAAGCACGGAGTGCAGGGCCTTTAGTTCTTTTTTTTTTTTTTTTAATTTTAAGATTTTCCAGCTGAAAAATAAAGCGAAGCGGGGTGTGCAGATGAAGCACGGAGTGCAGGGCCTTTAGTTCTTCTTCTTTTTTTTTTAATTTTTTTTTTTTTTAAGATTTTCCAACTGAAAAATAAAGCGAAGCACGGAGTGCAGGGCCTTTAGTTCTTCTTTTTTTTTTTTAATTTTTTTTTTTTTAAGATTTTCCAACTTAAAAATAAAGCGAAGCACGGAGTGCAGGGCCTTTAGTTCTTCTTTTTTTTTTTTAATTTTTTTTTTTTTAAGATTTTCCAACTGAAAAATAAAGCGAAGCACGGAGTGCAGGGCCTTTAGTTCTTTTTTTTTTTTTTTTAATTTTAAGATTTTCCAGCTGAAAAATAAAGCGAAGCGGGGTGTGCAGATGAAGCACGGAGTGCAGGGCCTTTAGTTCTTCTTCTTTTTTTTTTAATTTTTTTTTTTTTTAAGATTTTCCAACTGAAAAATAAAGCGAAGCACGGAGTGCAGGGCCTTTAGTTCTTCTTTTTTTTTTTTTAATTTTTTTTTTTTTAAGATTTTCCAACTTAAAAATAAAGCGAAGCACGGAGTGCAGGGCCTTTAGTTCTTCTTTTTTTTTTTTTAATTTTTTTTTTTTAAGATTTTCCAACTTAAAAATAAAGCGAAGCACGGAGTGCAGGGCCTTTAGTTCTTTTTTTTTTTTTTTTAATTTTAAGATTTTCCAGCTGAAAAATAAAGCGAAGCGGGGTGTGCAGATGAAGCACGGAGTGCAGGGCCTTTAGTTCTTCTTTTTTTTTTTTTTATTTTTTAAGATTTTCCAACTGAAAAATAAAGCGAAGCCCGGGGTGTGCAGATGAAGCACGGAGTGCAGGGCCTTTAGTTCTTCTTTTTTTTTTTTAATTTTTTTTTTTTTTAAGATTTTCCAACTTAAAAATAAAGCGAAGCCCGGGGTGTGCAGATGAAGCACGGAGTGCAGGGCCTTTAGTTCTTCTTTTTTTTTTTTTAATTTTTTTTTTTTTAAGATTTTCCAACTTAAAAATAAAGCGAAGCACGGAGTGCAGGGCCTTTAGTTCTTTTTTTTTTTTTTTTAATTTTAAGATTTTCCAGCTGAAAAATAAAGCGAAGCGGGATGTGCAGATGAAGCACGGAGTGCAGGGCCTTTAGTTCTTTTTTTTTTTTTAATTTTTTTTTTTTTTAAGATTTTCCAACTTAAAAATAAAGCGAAGCCCGGGGTGTGCAGATGAAGCACGGAGTGCAGGGCCTTTAGTTCTTTTTTTTTTTTTTTAATTTTTTTTTTTTTAAGATTTTCCAACTTAAAAATAAAGCGAAGCACGGAGTGCAGGGCCTTTAGTTCTTCTTTTTTTTTTTTAATTTTTTTTTTTTTAAGATTTTCCAACTTAAAAATAAAGCGAAGCACGGAGTGCAGGGCCTTTAGTTCTTTTTTTTTTTTTTTTAATTTTAAGATTTTCCAGCTGAAAAATAAAGCGAAGCGGGGTGTGCAGATGAAGCACGGAGTGCAGGGCCTTTAGTTCTTTTTTTTTTTTTAATTTTTTTTTTTTTAAGATTTTCCAACTTAAAAATAAAGCGAAGCCCGGGGTGTGCAGATGAAGCACGGAGTGCAGGGCCTTTAGTTCTTTTTTTTTTTTTTTTAATTTTTTTTTTTTTTAAGATTTTCCAACTTAAAAATAAAGCGAAGCCCGGGGTGTGCAGATGAAGCACGGAGTGCAGGACCTTTAGTTCTTTTTTTTTTTTTAAATTTTTTTTTTTTTTTAAGATTTTCCAACTTAAAAATAAAGCGAAGCCCGGGGTGTGCAGATGAAGCACGGAGTGCAGGGCCTTTAGTTCTTTTTTTTTTTTTTTTAATTTTTTTTTTTTTTAAGATTTTATTTATTTATTTGAGACAGAGAGAATGAGAGAGACAGAGAGCACATGAGAGGGGGGAGGGTCAGAGGGAGAAGCAGACTCCCTGCCGAGCAGGGAGCCCGATGCGGGACTCGATCCAGGGACTCCAGGATCATGACCTGAGCCGAAGGCAGTCGCCCAACCAACTGAGCCACCCAGGCGCCCAGGGCCTTTAGTTCTTTGAGTTGAAATATCAAAGTGGGTTGTCTCACTTTGCCATGCTGAAGGATAGTGCATTCTGAAAGAACTCCAAGTGGCAATTGGCGTAGTGTAACATATGCTATGGAAAGGAAGAATGACTTTTTTTTTTTTTTAAAGATTTTATTTATTTATTTGACAGAGAGAGAGAGAATGAGAATGAGCACAAGCACGGGGAGTGGTAGGCAGAGGCAGAGAGAGAAGCAGCCTCCCCACAGAGAAGGGGGAGCCCGATGTGGGGCTCGATCCCAGGACTCCGGGATCATGACCTGAGCCGAAGGCAGTCGCTTAACCAACTGAGCCACCCAGGCGCCCAAGAATGACTTTTTAAACAGTAAATTGTTACAGTGGCTCTAGAAAGTCTAATAAAGTAAACAGATCACTGGAATTTTTAGGTAAATAACTTGAATTTTGAGACAAAGTATATATTTAAACATAATGATAAATATTAACATTCATCTTTATCTTATATTAAAAACCTGCTTGAGCAAATCTGGATAACAAATCTTTTGCTGGGAAGATAGAAATTTGGGTAGAATTTAGTATTTTTTTAACATGGCGAATGATTCTCCCTGTATACTTCATGAGGTTATTATGTTCTCACATTCAACCTAAACTAGAAAAGGCTCCTTGCTTCCCTTTTAACACCTATGGTAATTAGCATCTTATTCCTAGATCCACTGATACATAAATTACAGAAAAAAATCACTAAGTGATAAATAGGTGGTGCACCTTATATTTACCGTTGAACTTCGAAGACCAGGAAATGTCTCTATCTGAATGACTGAATCTTCTTGTGAACCCCAAATCACTCCATACGTATACAGTCAAGTCAAAACAGATCCCAGTTTTCTCAGTGTCCATTGTATTAAATTACACTGCTTTCCCTTACTTAAAAATGTCTTAGGCACCCAAACTGGTAATTAATCATTTTCATCTCAGATTACCCCAACACAGGATTTTACTTAGCCACACAGGGTTTTACTTACCCATTGAATTCCTTCCTTAAAGGAAAAAAAAAATAAAATTAATACTTCTGATGATGAAGATGGTGATGGCACTTTTTTTTTAAGATTTACGTATTTATTTGATAGAGAGAGAGAGTGGGGGGAGGGGCAGAGGGAGCGAATCATTCAAGCATGGAATAGGCGGAGGGGCCCTCAATCTCTGTACCCTGATCATGACCTGAGCCAAAAACCAAGAGTCGGATGCTCAACCGACTAAGCCACCCAGGTGCCCCAATGGTGATGGCGCTTCTTAGATAATTAATATTCATTCGTGTTAGAAGCCACACATCCTGTCTTTTTTGCTTATTTACCCAGAAAGATTTATGGAAGTATTACTGCTTAAATAATCCTTGCCCAAAACATTTCATTTACCTGATTGAAAGGCAAAAAATTCTAATCTATTCGACATGTCTGAAATTAAATACATACGTACATGCATACATTAAACTATTTTTTAAAAATTGAATTAAAACTTAGGAACAATCTGCTTCTAAAATAGCGGTCCTCAGCCAGAGCAGTTTGGCCCCCAGGGAGTTTTGGCAATGTCTGGAGACATTTTTAGTTGTCACGACTGAGGGTACTATTGACATCGAGTGGGTACAGGCCAGAGGTAGTCCTTAAAAGCTGACAAAAAAGATGATCTGATCCACAATGGCCATATTGGCAAGTTCGATGAACCCTGACCTAGATAATTTATTAAAGTTCCAAGTTTCTTCTGGATGAGTGATTTGGTTTAAGCAAAATCAATTGAGGTGTTTGGAATAAATTGGAGAAACAAAATGAAAGAATAAGATTTTACTTTCAAACTATGTAATGGTTAGTGTGAAATTAATGGGCGTTTCATCCTAGATTTGGTGAAATTATTGGATTTTCTTTTACCTACCAGTTTCTTTGGAGGATCCTGAACAGCTCCAGCTGGCAGCTGTACCAATTAGCTAGAAAAAGTATATGTAAAAGAAATGATTAACTAATGAAGTTATTTCAAGA